ACACCCGGTCTAGAGCTTCAGCGGTACTGCAGGTTTTCGCAGTTTGGGAGGTGAAACTATAGCCAATTAACTCCTTGCACTCGAGGCTGAGTCACTGAGGTACCGAGACCTCCACATATTCAACGACCTATGAAGCGTCAGTCACCATACCATGGCACATATGTTGGAGACCCACGGATATGTATGCTTAAGATATAAGCCCCCACTTAAACCCATTACTACTTATCTGGGGCGCGCTTTCGGACATTTTTTATTTTCTCTGGGTTTGTTTACTACCCATATCTGTATTAGATATACTCTTATTATTGCCTGGAGTTTGACATTCATGATTAGACTGGCAAATGGAGTTGCGATGTCAATGTAGTGTTTCACCGAGATAGACTGACAAGAAAGACGCGTCAAAAGTGCCTTTAAAGGACATTCAATAATAAGTGACATTGCGGCCATGATAATGACTGATCATACGGAAAGCTTAGCAGCTTGTATAATAGTGGCCGCTTAATTCTTATTACGCCAATATCAGCGGCTCAGCCGCTGTACCAGCGGCTCAGCCGTTCGGAACATATCAGCGGCGCAGCCGCTGGGAATTAGCAGCGCTCAGCTGCTGGGATCAGCGACTCAGCGGCTGGGCCGCTTGGATCAGCGGCTCAGCCGCTTTAATCTCAGGCATGGATCAGCGGCTCAGCCGCTTTAATCATGCTTGGATTTGGACCAGCGGCTCAGCCGCTAGCATTGGCACTTAACTTAGCCGTTTGGATTAGCGGCGCAGCCGCTGGAATTACTACCGCGTTCGCACTTGGATCAGCGGCTCCGCCGCTAGGACCGGCGGCACAGCCGCCAATACCAGCGGCTCAGGCGCTCCGATCAGCGGCGCAGCCGCTGAGCCACTCACTAGGATCAGCGGCACAGCCGCTCACCCACTAGGATCAGCGGCTCAGCCGCTCGGATCAGCAGCGCAGCTGCTCAGTCAGCGGCTCAGCCGCTGGAATCAGCGGCTCAGCCGCTGGGATCAGCGGCTCGGCCGCTTAGCGGAACAACTTGTTTCGGCAATAGTTTGATGATTAATATAATAATTAATTAAATTAAATTATTATTGTTGAATTGGAAGAGGCATTGTAGATCTGACCATTGTAACTAGATGCTGCAGTTTCAGTTGGTTCTGAATGAACAATTCTGCAATGTCTACGACTGCTAGAGCCATTTGGCGCCAGGTGCAGCTACTAGGACCAGCAAAGCTATAGAGTGGTTGCAATGGATCGCAATGCGCGTAGCCCTTCGCCCGAGCTAGAGCCTGGCTGGGAATGGCGTTGGACGTGGAGGCAAGAACCCGGTGGCGTTTGGTGGTGGGAGTGGTTTAAGGCTAGCAAAGCTTGGCTGGCAGCGAAGGCCCAGGCCAAGATTCAGCAGACCGCGACGGCATCGGAAGACCAGTCTGGAACTGCTACATCCCAGGCAAGCTCATCGACACGGAAGCGCAAGAGATCCCGGACTCCATGAGCTAAATGGCCTTGACTGAGCGAGGAGCACCTATTTAATTCAGAGTCGATTGCATTTTGCGGACGGTCAACTATTGACTGGCTGCCGCCCAATCACTGACTGGGCAAAATTCTGTGACTAAGAGTCTTGGGTGGCTCCTCAAGGAATCGGGCGTCGCCCTGAAGGATCTACCGGATCATAGTGTGTGTTCGTGCTGAAAAATGTCTGCGAGTCAGAGTGAGTGACTGTGAGTTGTTCTGATGCAGGCTTGCAAGATACATGCTGAGAACACGTCTTATCGCTCTGTTTCAGCTGCAAGCCACCGCCGCACGTTCGCAGGGTTTTGGCCGGTGCAGCCTGCGTTTTAGAAGAATCAACCGCGAAGCTTTGGCATTGGCATGCAATTTGAGGTTACTAGTCCTGGAGATCCTAATATCATCCCTGGCGTAATAAGTGAAGCTGCTATACTAGCCTCAGTGGGCATCAAGCTGGTCGCTAGAATTCAATGGGCAGCTCGTCATAGTTAATTTCTGATTGCTTGGGTAGCATACTTCAGTCTATCAACTCCGCCAGTGCCTCATAATTCCGATTGCCAAAGCCGTGCCCATGATAGGGTTGAAGCTGTGTTAGCAGGCTTAGCATCGGTGTAGGTCCTTTTGCTGCCATGGGGGGTGGCAAGGACGTGAAGGAGGAGCTCCGCATCCCCGCGGAGGGCGAACGGCTGTATGCCAAATGCCCCCTCGCGGACGAGTGCGACTTCGGGGCGTCCCGCTGGTTTGGACCCTATACGGGAATCGAAGCAGCGCGGCAAGCGATGGCGGCGCACCTGCTCGCGAAGCACTCCAAGATGACGGAGTCAAGTGCTGGGGCTCTGGCGCTCGAGACGGCTGTCTACACCTGGTCGGGGAAACCCGACGACCAAGCCGTCAGGGTGCAGAACAAGGCGAAGGGCGACCCGAAGGAGAAGGAAGAGCCAGCATCTCCGGTTCAGCCACGCCCCAAGAGGGCCAAGTTGAAGGAGGCGGACGATCGTGACCGTGACCGACGGAGGGAGCGGGAGCGGCGGGAGGACCGCCGGGAGGACCGCCGAGAGGATCGCCGGGACGACCGCCGGGACGAGCCCCGGGATGACCACCGGAAGGCGGAGGCGGATACTGACCAGACATCGGGGACATCGGCAGAGGACAAGCAGCAGCAGATGCACACGAGTGCCAAGCAGCTTCCTGCGGCTCCTCCTGCTAAGGCGGTTGGTGACAGTGGCCAGGGAAGCCAGCCGCCGTCTGGGGGGGAGGGGGTGCTGCCGCCTCTGCCGGCGGTGCCATTGCTGCCCTCTCGCATGCCCCTCCCGATGGGTGGTTGCGGAAATTTGCTCCCGGCCATGGTGGGCACTGGTGGTGGCGCAATCGGCCCGAACCTTTTTCAGCCTGCTCGGGCGCCACCATCGACATACTACGCCTTGGTGGCGAGAACTTCCGCAATCCTGCAGAGGATGGCCACTTCATTGCAGGTGTGCGGGAGGATTATGCACCAGGCGGCCGACTCCTTCAATGCCGAGCTCCGCGTTTTGGAGGGGATGCAGCAGGAGCTCGAAGGTTTTATGCCACCAATGCCCACCGGGCGTGGTGGCACAACGGATGCCGATCGCTGAGGCTGAGTGGGCATAGCTGGCAGGTCCTAGACTCAGCATAGGCGTCAGAAGTACAGTAGTACTATAGGATCTGCTTTCAGAGTCAGGCTCAGGCTTAGACCACAAGGACTACTAAATAATAAGCAGATTTAATTTTACTGGCCTTGACCTTGGGACCAGCCGTGCTGCTAGGGGGAGTTGGAACTGTTAATATAATATTAATTATATTATTGTTATTAGTATTATATGTATACTATTACCATTATATTATATATATATTAATAATATTACTTGTATGTATATTAAGTACTGAATCTTCTTAGATTTATTCTAGGTTGGATGCTTGATTATAATAAATAATAATTACTGTAATCTTCATTTATCAATTTAACTCATTTTGTCGCACAGTACTGAATCCTGTAGTCAAACATGTACTTTGACAATTCCATTCCTACAAAGTCAAAACGATACTGAATAAGATTTCACTGCTCAGCAGGTAGATGGGTCAGCATGTCATTCTGGAGTGCATGAACAAGTCGTATAGCCTGGTAGGCTAGCACCAACGACACAGATTCAACATAGAGGGCTACCTAATACTCCGAAACAGGGATATTATATAGGACGTGTTGGAATCTATCATACGCCAAGCTCGTAATTTATTAAGAGATCAATCCAGGCCCAGTGCTGTGTCTTGTTATTGGGCTGTTGCTCTTTCTACTCAATCTATTTCTCCTTATACGTGTCAGGCTGCCCTGGCATTACCCGCGCTTCATGTCTGACTAGCATTACTAAACTCCTAGGAGCCATGCTATCTCCAGCATACTGTTAGGACTGTAGGACCGAAATTGCAGCACGGCCAGGAAAACAGGCTCTGAAAGCATTTCCATTCATTCGTTTCCAAAGATCTCCCAAAGCGAAGATGATGGGAGCACCTGGGAAAATGAAGAGAACGGAGGCTGCCATGTTCACTTCAGCACTGCTGTATCAGTGGTCTTCATGCTCGCATTGACACTTGCCCTGTCTGAGCCGGCAATCCTGCTTGACACTTCCACGTTCTGTCTTGCAGATCGGTGCTTGCATTGGCTTGCAGTGAGCTGATCAGTTCATCTTTGCTATTTTGGCAAGGTCTGGCTCCAGCGGTCATGGTAGTAGGCATGACTGTGCAATCTAATCTCTCATTGGCTGATCGTAGGCAACTACTTCCTGCAATAAATAGGGAATCAATATTTATTCTGATATATTAAATAGTAAAACTGTCCACAATAAGATTCGCTTTATTGAGAAAAATAGGGGCCAACGCCGGACATGAAGCGCCGCTTCGAGGAGGCTTAATGCAGATGTCGCCGACAGCAGGGCCAGCAAGTTCATGGGGGGGGCCTACAACGGGGGCTCCCCGAAGAGTCCTGGCTCCAGCTCCAGCTGTGGCCACCAACCTGGGAAGCCAGTGAAACCAAAGCCAGCGGCTGCAAAAGCTGGCCGGGAAAAAGTTCCCCGGAAGAAGACTGCGGCCAAGGCCAAGGTTGCTCCCAAAAAGCGCGGCCGGCCCCGATTGGCCGTGATCTTGCCTGAGCCTGGCTCTGGCGAGCGTCCGCCTTGCCATGACAAGTTTGAGCCCAGCTGCGCTCGCTGTGTCTTTTCTCAGCGCTGCGGGCACTGGCAGAAGACTCATGCCTGCTTTCGTCGAAGATGCCGCTCTGGTGCAAGCCAGGATGGAGTTTGGCTTATGGAACGGCCTGCCAAGCTGGGAGGCGAATGGGGCATCGGCTGTTCGCTGTGCGCATGGTTGATGCAACGAGCTGCGGCTCATGGCACCGCAGAGGAGATGAAGGCAGTCAAACACATAAGGCGGCGGTGGTGCACCAAATGGGCACGGTTCGAGGTGAGGGGCCTCAAGTCCATGCAAGCCAGCTGTATTGACCTTCATCGCCGTTCAGCCATTCATCGCTTGGCTGAGCGTTGCATGGCCTCCCCGGATGTGTCCTTGGCCAAGTTGGTGGCGCACGAGCCTGTCGACGAGAAGCTCCTCGCTGGCTCCGTCCCGCAGCTCTCCGATTGGCTGCGGGCCTGGCGAACAGTCCAAAGCCCGGTGAGTTTTCTGAAGGCTTCCAGGCAAAGTGCCACAGAATCCCACATCGACTGCCGGCGCGGTTACAAGCGGCACGTGGACCGTAAACCGCTGAAAGACATGCTGGAGATCATCTTGGAGGTTACTCGAGAGCACAAAAGGCGGATGTTGGCAGTTGCTGACCATATCTCCGTGAGTCCATGGCTCAGAACTTAATTTAATGTTATTAAATTATTATTATGACTCAGATAGTTATAGCACTAATTGGTCGCTGCTCAGCAAGCCGGTATGACCTGTGTGGCTCAGGTCTGGACGACAAAGCACCTTTTCGGGTGCTGAGGTACCGCTGCTGCAGAACGACCTCTGATCCAGATGAGAATGACGATTTATTTCCTTGGCTTGCCGGGGGCCATGGCATTCTGGGCGTCCTTAAACACCATGGCAAAGAAGCTTGCTGCGAAGACCTGGACGAGGACTACTCGCAGAAGATCGCTGACTCCATACTCCAGGGGGTGCACAGACTTGCGACCCCCTTGGGAGGGGATCCAGACGTGGATGTGATCAACCGAGTGAAGCAGACGCTGACATCATATGCCTCCGATGGAGGGGCGCCGATGAAGAAGTGTGGCAAGTTGTTGCAATGGCAGCGGAACTTTCCCAACCTTTGTCTGATTTTGCAAGACAAGGCTCATAACATAAGAAGGGCCAGCCTGCCTTTGACGATGGAGGCCAACTTCAAAAAATGGTGGGCGGACACGTATGAGAGCAAGACCTCCATAATTCCTTCCTTGCAGAACAGTCATGAGTGGCGTCAGCGGTTCATTGTCCTCCAGCAGAAGGTTCTTCGAGAGGCGGGAGATCTTGCTGCCTCCGCCTCGGGAGGAGCCGCGCCTGCCATGAACAACCTGCGTCGGGCGGTGGAGACGTTGTCTTTCGCGAAGCAGCGATTCGACTCCTTCAGCTCCTCTCAGGGGAAATTCATTTGCCTGGTACTTCCCATATGCCTATTACTTGCTGCCCAAGCCTGTGACGAGCGCCTGGATGGCCGGCTTCGGTGGCGTTCTGAGCAGCAGCTGAAGGGTATCTCCGGGGAGAGCATCCTCTTGGCAGGTTTGAGCGCAGATTTCGGGGCAGAGATCCTGAAATTTGTCCGGCGCTGGGATGGCCGTGACCCGGACATTGCGAGCACATTGCGCCATCGTGATGACTTCGTAGCACGCATGCGTGCTCTGTTTTCTGAGGGACGGGTGCTGCTGGATGCCGCCAGCGCTGGTGCCATGGACGAGGACGAGGAGACTTTCACTGTAAGAGGGCTGCGAACTGCTATGTCGGCAGCTCCGATACAGTATGGTGAGAAGCTCCACAGCCTGTGGACGGCCACCGAGAAGTCTAAGTGCACAGAGGTCATGCAAGGCATGCAGACCGTCGTGGATGCTACGGTGGCCAGGGTGCAAGTTGATATGGATGGCTCCGATCTTCACATGAGCTTCGCTATCTTCGATCTCCCACAGTGGAAAAAAATGAAGGACCAGCTGGAGCAGGGCCAGGTGGAAGCCTGGGACTCCTTCCAGTCGTCACAGAAGCGGCGAACTGGTTTGTTGGCCAAGGCTTTGCATCATCAACCCCAAGAGCTCTGGCGGGAGCTTTCTGCTGCCACTGCAGCTCTTCTGCAGGATGCCACAGCAGTTGCTGAAGCCAAGAGCAGGAACGACTCCCGACCCAACTGGCGCAGGGTCCTGGACGGGCCTTTGGATGGCTGCATGCAGCTGGGCGTTCTCCGGGATGCAGTTTGCTTTTACCTGAGCATCCAGGATGGCGAGTGTGGGGTGGAACGAGACCTAGCACTTCTGCGTGATCAGTTGAAGAACCACGAGGCTGCTCTGGACCGCTGCGGTCTCACTGCCAGCTGTCTCCTGGAGATCAAGCTAGACGGGCCACAGACAGAGCAGCATCTCGCAGAGCGACTGCTGCCTGATGCACAGCCAGCAGCTGGCTTGATGGATCCATTCGCAGTTGGCGACTCTGCAGTCCTGCGCAAGACGCCATTCACGAGGCGATGCGCGCAACTTTGGCTTGCCAAGCACGGCCGCAGGTTTCGTTGCTACAAAGAGCGGTCCGACAAAGGCACACGCCGAGCAAAGCGCAAAGGCACGATGGCCTCGGTGGTGCGTGGGCAAGTTCGGGCAAGCGATGCCTTGGTAGAGATGCCTGCGCCTAGGGGAGACACGCCGACAGCAATCCCAGGCATGCCGTTGCGATCTTTCGCGCAGAGAGCTGCTACGAAGCTACGAGGCAGCAGCCGCTGGAACCCGGAGTTTGAGAAATTTCAGAAGCTCACGGAGTCAAAGAGCAACCTGCGGTCCCAAGAACGACAACGGCAATTCTTCGGGCGACCTCCACCTCGGCCCCTCCTGCGCAAAGGCAAGGTCTTCCAAACTGGTCCTGCTCCACGATTGTCTTCGACCACGCTGATTGCAGATTTGTCTTCCGAGACAAGAGCTCCGGAAGCCACACGCCAGTGTGCTTACAAGAGGTGCCCAGGGGATATCAGCTTTGAAGATATGCTCCGCAGCAACATATTGGTCGTGGACGATGCGCAGGCTCTGGAGCAGGGCCGTGCTGGGTCTTCATCTCAGTTTTCTTTTTGAATTTGAATACACTTGCCCCGCTACAGTGCCTCAGCGGAGACAGGGTCGCAGCGCACATTGCTTGCCAAGGCCCACACAGCTGCACTGGTACTTGGCTGTGGTGGCTTTTGGCAAAGGCCTCGTGAGCATTGGCAACTGGCTTCGAGCGGATCGCATGGACTTGGTGAGGTACTACCAAGCCGCCAGCAAGGAGGTGCCGGCCAAAGTCTTCGTCAGAGCCGAGTTCAAACAGCAGTATGGCAAGGTCGTGCGATGGTTGCAAAGAATTTGTTCTTTGCCGCGGTGCCTGTGGTCCATCACCGGGTCGGAGGCTGACGCAGAGTGGGTGCTCTCAGATCTGCCTTCTCTCAGCAACTTCTTGGTCCGTATCTGCCGTGTCAGCACCAGCGCAACCAAGTTGACGACCGAAGGGAAATACTGGAAGCTGGGAAGCCAGGCTAGGCTGCTGCGACGAGCCCCGCAAAAGCGACCCCGAGCGGCACAGCCGCCTGCTGAAGCTGAGGGGTAGAATGAATGTCTGGAGCGGCACAGCCACCTGCTGAAGCTGAGGGGTAGAATGAATGTCTGGAGCGGCACAGCCGCCTGCTGAAGCTGAGGGGTAGAATGTCTGGGGAAGGCCCAAGCTGGGGCAGTGGGGCCGTCATGCCACTGCCGGTGCCGTGTTGCAGCAGAAGTACGGATTCTTATTAAGAGTGAGGCTATTCTAATTTAATAAAGTTAATCTTATTATTACTATTAATTAAAGTTCTAATCCTAGTTCATAGTCTCTCGGCAGTGAACGGATCTGCACTTGGCAGTGGCACCAACGGCATTGACAGGGGTTCTCTATTAAACTTTTCTCGGCGGGGAAACGAGAAACTACGTGGAAGCTTCGTTAGCTGTGGGGGTCAGCTGATGTCTCAAGACTCAGACCCCAAAGGGGGAAACTGCAGCCAGCCATGAAAGCGGAGAAAATGGCCGAATCGCTACTAGCCTTTTTTGCAAGTTGGTTCTTGGACGGTAATCTCTGGGAGAATCCCCGGACAAATACCCCCCCCGATTTTCGAAAATCGGGTACCGTAATTCTTGGGGGAATCCCCCAGAGATTACCGTCCAAGATTCCAGAAAGCTCTATGACCGTAATCTCCTGGGGAATCCCCGGGCAAATACCCCCCCCCGATTTTCGAAAATCGGGACGGTAATTTTCGGGGAGCATTTGCGATCTCAAGGTCCGATTTAGGCAACTGCTGGGGTAGGAAGATTTTGGCTATTTTGGCCTTGCCATGCCTAGTTCGAAGCGCAAGGACGCGGAGAAGAAGCAGGAGCCCGCAGCCACCCCAGCCGCCAAAGTTGCGAGGACATCCTGGCAAGCTTCAGACGCCAAGCTCCCACGCCCAGAAATTCCGTCTGGTGGCGAGGAGGCCAAGAGAACGGACGCAGCCAAGGTGATGAAGAAAGTGCTTCCGTGGGTTCTTAAGCAGCAGAATCAGATTTAAGTGTCCAGTGTGTAAATATATATTAAATATTTAAACAATAATTAAAGTTACCGGTATAGGTTGCTATAGAACCATAGCAGTCGACAGGTTCTGCAAGAACTGCCTGCCCTGCTGAAGAAGCACAAGATTTGCAAGGAGGCCTCCGATCTCCGGGGACTTCCCCCGCTGCAGATCTCGGATGACAACAGGCAGAAAGTTCGAGGTTTCAAGGAAACTTGGAATCCCGGGAACGCGGCCATTTCCCTGAAGGGAAATGGCATCTATGAAGCAGGTGCCAGCCTCTACTGGCTGGACTGCAGCATCTCCGGCAAAGCTGGCAAGTTCGACGAGTTTCTGGTGGAACCTAGTTGGGATGATGTTGTTCGTTTCGAGGCAGCCCACATGCCCCAGAAAAGCAAGGACCCGCAGGGCAGACTCCTCTTCGGCCAGGTCCTGACCTGCTACAATGACATGCCGCAGCTGGTTCCTGGGAAAGACGAGTTTCCCAAGAACATGTTCTTGCTTGCAGGCAAGGTGTACCTGTTCGCATGGTACACTGCCATGGCAAGAGCGATGCTCCAAGAGGATGTCGATCGCATCACCAGATTGCACGAGATGGCCCTCACGCTCAGTGTACGTGCAATATTGTCTGCCGATGACGCCAGCATGATCTTGGGGAGCATGCAAGCCTCGGAACAGCTGCGAGCAGCTGAGCAGGCGGACTCCTTCGTGCAGTTCGCAAGGAAGCTGGATCGCTTGATGGATGAGGCTGAGCGTGTTGCTGGCGTCAAGAAGACGAGCACTGGCCAGAGCAAGGATGATTCGGAGGGCACACCCATGCTGCAGCACCTGAAGAATCTGGATGTCGCCTTCAACGGCGGCAAGTTGAACAAAACGATGCTGAATGCAGCTCTCAACCTCATCAGCACAATGCCCCCTGAAGCAGAGCAGGCATTCGGCGCCCTGGATCGGGAGTTTGGTATGGAGACCTGGACCAAGGGCTACAACAAAGTCATGCGCCTCTGCCATATCTGTCAGAAGCAGGGCCAGCTCTTGGGTAGAGCGCCGGGCGAGCTCATGACCTTTGTCTTGCAGACCTCCCTCATGAGCCTGCGACGCCCCCTTCTGGACGCGGGGTTCTTCACCCTGGCCAATCTGGACAACAAGGGTGCCGAGCGTCCGGGTTGGATGGCAGCCACCTGTGTCAAGGCTGCCTTGCTCAAGCACATTCAGGATATCGTCGAAACGGCCAGTAACTTGGCAGGCAAAGAGGTGCCAGCCCTACAGAAGGATCTTGAAGTCCTCCGCAAGCTCTGCAATCCTTCCACCTTCAACGAGACTCTTCCAAAACAGGGCGGCGAGGACGAAGACGAGGAGGGAGCTGATTCCCAGATGACCCTGACGCTGGGAGACATTGTCGAAGAAGCTGGCGCAGACAAGATGACCGCCTTGGTGGAGCCGTGCTCCAAAGCGGGGAAGTTGTTTGCCGAGATCGTCCGCGACCTCTGGGAGGGCGTCTACGAGAAGGAGCTGAAAGCCCTGGTGCCCGAGAGAGTGCCATTCGAGGCGGCTTTGGATCCGGAGAAGTCGGGCCAGACAAACTTCTTCAAAGCTTTGAAGGCAGCCAGCTCCGTGCCACGCTCAGTCGCAAGATCGTTTTAATGCAATCCCCTCCTTATTTCGGTGATTTATCGTGGTAGCGCAGTGCTGGCAGGCCCTGAACGAAGTGTCCGAGTCCGGATTGGGGGGCCACTCCTCTGGATCTGCGCCGACGACACTGCGGGAGCTCGTGCGGTGCAGGAGTGACCCTGTCGGGCGAGACATCGTCGAGGAGAGGGATCGCTTGTGGAAGGAGGCGGTCGTTGTCAGGAAGAAAAATGCCAGCTTGCGCTGTTGAAGAACAAGGATGGCTGGGGCCAGCTGCTCGGCAAGTCCACGGCGCGAGCGTTCGAGGGAGAGCTCAACTCCAATCACAGGCTCTTCGTCCTGTCCCTGGACCTGTGGGAGGACGGCGAAAATGCCCACACAGGGCGCGAGGACGTGGATGAAGGGAAGCTGGAGGAGGTCATGAAGTGGCTCTGCAGCCAGACCAAGGATTTCGATATGATCTTGGCCTGCGACGGATGCCACGTGCCCAACCAGACCGCCATCGTGAAAAGCTTGGGCGGAAGGATCGCAGGGGGAGGAGGGCTTCATACGTTCCACTGCTGGCATGATTTGTCGGAGGCCCCGTCCGTCAAGAAGTCCAGGAAGGTTTGGGGCGCGAGCAGTGCTTTGGAAGGCCTCTTTCTAAGATTGCCCTTCCCGCGTGTTCGCCTGATGGTCAAGGATCGGACAGACGACTATATCCCTCCGGGGAGGCACCAGACGACCCATGACCTCAACCTCATAGGGGTGCCAGCCCCCAACGTCAGACAGCTGCCACGGATTCAGCTCTCGGAGAAGGCCAAGTTGGGTCAGAATGCCCAAGCACCCGCCAAATGGCCCAGTGCATCCGTTCCAATGTTTTGGAATGAATCCAAGAGCGAGGTGTTTTGGAGCACCATCATTGACATCCTGGATGTGGGCCAGATCGTGGATGCCACCCCCGGAAGCGGGGGACTGGCTCGCGCAGCTATGGACGCGGACATCCCCTATCTGGGGATTGTCCGCTCAGAGCTGCACCTGACATGGCTTGGCAATCAGCTGGACAAGGATTGCCTGTACCGCCTGGCTCAGGATGGCTCGCCGCTTTTCAATCAAGACCTGGCCACCCTCGCAAGGACTCATTTCTCCGAGATTTTGGAAGGGTACAATGCGCCCGATGTGACCGAGGAAGACTCCGAGCCGGAAGATGTTACTACGTCCTGAGGATTTCGGGTGCGCAGCAGCAGCTCCCCACTGCCCGACCGTCTGATAATTAGGCATGCTACTTGGTAGTACCAGTCTCGGTTATTTATACTAAACTATATTAAAGTATATACCAGAAATACTTCCGTATGCAAGTTTGTCAAATCAGTATGAAATGTCTATTGGACAATGTCTCTTTTCTATTAAATTACTACGAATTTTTAATTATGTCTTATTACTATGACTAATATATAATATATAATGTATATATATATATATAATCATAATAATAATAAGACATATAGTAAAACTTCAATGAGTACTATACCGTAAATGGACAAATTGATACCAGAATTTATTCAGTATAAAAATGTATTAATCCGGTATATACTCAATACTGGAAATATACATTTCAATACTGAAAAATGTGTTATTCTTTCTTAATTAACCGCTTTAGTAGCTTCCTTATAGTTTCATATTAAGCAATTGTAAGGAATTGCAAATTCAAAAAGCATTAACAGACCAAAGTTTACTTTTTTTTTAGTAATTTTGATTGAAAACCAGTAGAATTGTTATTATTGCATGCAATCGAATCCGGTATGAACGGTGTGCCATCCAGTATGAAATATATACCAGAATCAGAACTTCCAATACTGTTTATTTTTTGGTATCAAAATATTCATATCCAGTATGCATATATATATATAATATATATATATATATCAGGTTATATATAGTTATATTTTACATTTGTATTTTTGCATATGAAAAGACTATTAAATTATATATATCATAATAATAATAATTAAGTATAGTAATTTAATATTATAACAATATTCAATTTAATATATATATATATATACATATATGTATTTTTTATATTTATTATTATTTATTTACAATTAGTTGCATATCGGCTGAATTATACAACAATAATACTCCTCGGGGTAGACAAAGCTGGGACGATATCTGTTGTCTGTTGCTATGTTCACTTACCGTCAATGGCTGCTATTCATCTATGCGTACATAGATGCTATGCTGCCAACGGTTTCAGAGACTTTCTGCAGTCAGTTAGCAAGCACTCCTGCAAAGCCAACTTGCTAGCTTGCCTTGGAAGACGGGGGGCCCGTGGGTGAGGCTTGCAACATGAGCTCAGAGGATGGCCCATAGACCTTTCCTGCGAGATTTCGTGTCTACTAGTCTTCGTTGAAATATTATGCAACTTAATTCCCAGCCATTTGCAAGACGCGGGGTTTTGTGCATGGGGCCACCCAATGCTCTTGGCAACACTTGAGCGGTGATCTCATCTGCGCGATTTAAAAAGACAAGAATCTTCTTTGGCTGGTGCCGCTATTCTGAATGACCATTTGACAAGCCATGTTGTGAAGGGATTGTCGTTATCACTTGGTGCATGGTCGGTGCAGCCCATAATGGCTTCTGGGAAGCAGCTAGAGCATGGCGTATCCCGTCGCTGCTGCGAAGCAATGGGAGGAGTGGGGCCCTGCTCTTGTCAATGCCGTGACTCAAGCTGAAGGCTTGCATGCTCAGCAGGGCCTCAAGGGCACGAAGATATTGCTGGGCTCAGACTGCAGCGGATGCGAGGCTCCTGTATTCGCTCTGCATGGCTTGCGGCTGGCTTTTCGCCACAGGTGGAGCTGCGATGTAGCGAATCATTCCCGTCTCTGGATCCAAGAGGTCTGCAAACCAGAGAAATTCTTTGATGATATGCTCCAGCGGAAGAACCTGCAAGAGCTTCCACCCATCAACCTGTATACGTGCGGCTTCCCGTGCAAGCCGTACTCGAACTTGCACTGGCAGTCATCCGGCTTCAAAGACCCGAATGCTCGGCCGTTCCAGGCATCATAGCAGAATCAGAAGTTCTCCTTGACGTATTTGGTGTGAATTATTAATCAAATAGTAATGAATATTAAATAATACCAGACCCTAGCTACTGTATCTTTAAACTTTGCTATGACAATGAGGCCATGTTGGAAACAACAATGGCCACTGGCACACCCATGGCCATCTTCGAAAACGTTTTGGGGCTCAGCAAGTACATGCAGGCGGTGCAGAAAGAAATGATCCGGGCCCTGCCAGGCTACAAGATCTTTCTTACAAAAATGTGTCCCACCGAACTGGGTTTTGCCGCACGCAGGGGCCGGTTTTTCTTCCTGGTGGTCCGTTCAGACCTATGCTTGACGGACGATGCGAAGAAGCTTGGGGACCTGGTGGCAAGAATCATGGCGAAGGTGAAGAAACCCGTGCCGAAGAACCTGCGAGACTACCTGCTGCCTGCAAACCACAAGTGGGTGCTGGCACAGCAGGCCCGTCAGAAGAAGCATGCAGGCCACGGCACCTGCGGATTGCCAAGAAGTCTGCAAGGGGTCGTGCCATCATTGACCAGCCGGCAGGTTAAAGCCTTAGCGCATGCTTGGCACACGAGGTGTGCGCCACGGGGAGGCACGCTCAGCTTTGTGGCAGATGTGAGCCAAAGCACGGGCCGGGCTCCGGTGGGATTCTCTGGAGAAGTCCCGTGCGTGACTCCGGGCGGTCGGCTTGTGGCAGCAGAGCTAGGCCGCCTGCTGGTTCCGGAGGAGAAGCTGATGATGGCAAATTTCCCGGTCCACAGCATAAGCATCCCGAAGGATCTGTCACCTTGCCAGGTGGCGGACTTGGCGGGGAACACGATGCACACTGCCTGCATCGGACTGGCGATGCTGTGCACCATGGCCATGCTGAAGCTCGAGAAATTGAACTCGCCAGCACCTTCAACGACAGGCCATGGCGAGTGGATGGATTTGTCAGGCATGAAGCATGGCAAGGCTGTCAAAACGAAGGCGGCCAAAGGAAGGAAGGTCCTGTGTGGCAAGGGAAAAGCCATGAAGGCCATGAAGGCAGAGACGCACGGCAGGAAGAGAATGCAGGGCAAGTTCAATCGCAGAATGGGGACCGTAACGGTCGACTCGCAGAGGCCATCGAAATCGAGGAAAGTGCAGCAGAATCAGAAGCCTGTGTCGGGCAGGGCTGCATATGCCGCTGCATACTACAACTAGCATCTTAGAGTAGCTCAGAAGCAGCTACGTCTGTAAATTTCCATGCAAATGGCATGGTGATATGCCAGACTAGTTGGCATGACCAGTGATGGCCTTCGTTGAAAAAGACAATGGTGGAGCAGTGATAGCAGTGAGTGTTCATCTTGAAATCCTGTGGCAAGCATGCAGTCCCCAGCATCCATGATCAGTGTCATTGGTGGGTTTTTTGCGTAGTAATATCGGCTCAGTTGCCTCTGCGGCCTGCCTTTTCGCAGACATGGCCCACGATTTCCTCAAATCGATCGCCAACATGAACTTTGAGGAGTTGGTGTCGGCGGAGATGGCCACCAAAGAGTGCCCTTCGCGCCCTCTGACTGGTTTTTCGGAGGAGAATCTGGTGTTTTCTCAGTCGGCAGCTCAGGCGAAGAAGGAGGACCACGACGACAACCGTGCTGCGAGTTCGGCGGCGAGTTCGGCACTTCCGCCTCCGCCAAAAGCCGAAGAGGACGATGCGCCGCCTCCTCCAGAGCCTTCGTCATCTTCGTCAGCGAGACGGGAAGATGATCAAGATGCCGCTCATGCCGATTCAGAGCGAGACGACGGGCATCTGCTGCCTCCTCCTTCCAGGGTAAAATCCCTGCGGCAAACTCAATGGGAGGAGTCCGGGCGAAAGCGCCCACGGGGCGGCAAGAAAAACCAGGAAATCTGGTACGACAAGAACCGCTGGCAGTAAAACGAAAGCCGCCTGATTTCGATTTGCAGCACACAATGTTCATTGACATCTATTTTTTCAAGCAGCCGTGCCATGCTGTAGGCGCATAGCATGCTGTTGCAATCGCTACTCGCCACAGCAAGTTCAGTGCTCAAACTTACCAGTCGAAGTTAGAGTTTACTCTAGAAGAATCAGTGCGGCAATTGACGAGTCTGAGTGCATTGTCAATGTCAGTCCGACTGTAATAATCTTACTTATTATATACTGCACTGGAAATAGTCAAAGGTTCCCAAGTCCCAATCCTGTTCTTCCTCATCCATGGCTCCGTCCTGGCTGTGCTGTAGTTTTTGACGAAGGCCCGGAAATTATGAAGCAGCCGTCGGCCTCGAGCAAGGCAGCATCGTCTCGCCAGATGCCGAAGAGATGCCAAGCAGCACATGCACAGGTTCTTGTCGTTTATATTGCGTACTTTTAGAATTTAAAATTAAATTAATAGCAGGAATGTTTTATTATGGTAAATGCAGGAGAAACTGCACAACGCTGTCTGCGTGGAGTGGGCTTGCTACCGAAAGTTCGAAGTGCTTATGCAATCTGGTTTCAGGAGAAGATCGCGAGCATGCCCAAGGCCGCAAATGTAGAAGAACATCGGCAAAGAGTGTCAGCATGGGCTCGAGAGTGGAACAACATGACCAAAGAGGACAAAGAGAAATATGTATCCCAATCTAAGAAAGAAAAGAGCGCCCGGGATGAGGTTCTGGAAGAAGTGGCCTTCGAGAAGAAATGGGAAAAGCCGCAAGAGTCGGAGAGCCAGGGCTCAGCTCAAGCGGGAGCAGCTGTGCCAGTCAAAATGGGAGACTGGCTGTTGCAGGAAAGGCTTGGTCAGGGCACCTATGGAGAGACATTTGTGGCCGTCAATATCAAGCTTGGACTCAAAGGTGCTTTGAAGATGTTCACAGGTAACAACGAGAGCAAAAACGAGGAGTTTGAGGTCTACCAATGCCTTCAAAAAGCGGCTACTAAGCCGGTTCAGGCATCATGCTTCCTCCCTATCCTTGACTTCTCCCGGGCTGACACCTGCAGCTGGATGGTGGTGCCGTGGATTCCTTCTGGATGCCTACGGCAATGTCTGAGCAAGACTGGCCCGCTGAAATCTGCTGCGTTGCGGGCCATGCTGCTTCAGGGGGCCAGTGCACTCGATTACTTGCACAGTCTGAATTGGCTGCACTTGGATGTGAAGCCGGCCAACATGCTATGGGATCCGCTCGCCTCCAAACTTTATCTCATAGACTTCAGCCTCGTGGAAAGCCTGCCGCTCAAGGGCGACATATTCGGCAACAATGTTTGTACGCAGCCATACAGGCCACCGGAGGCATGGAAGCTCCCGTGCAACGTGGGCAAATTTACAGATGCATTCTCCTTGGGTGTTTCCGGCTTTGAAGCAGCCACGGCCCGACTGCTGTTCCCAGACCCGAACAAGATCGCCAGATGGAAGGTTAACCGGCAAAACGCTGCCGGCACTTTGCTTTGGAGCGGCATGCCCTCCGATGTGCGCCTCGTTCTTTGGCATCTGACGGATGCCGATTACCAGCATCGCATGGCTTTGGGGCGTGTCGCTGAGCGGCTGAAACAGCCAGCAGGAGTAGATGATTGATGTCTCACCTGACTCCATTTGCCAGTGAATATATAGGCACTATGTGGGGGTGGAATTAATTCCATAAATATTTTTCGGCTGGGCGGCAATTTAACCCAGTTATAATTCCCATAGTTTAGGGCCCTTAAGGTAATGCTAAGGATTTATTCAACAGCACGTCCAGAACCCGTACTTCCCCTCAGGACCCCTTGAAGGAAGAACCCTCACGCCCCATACATACCCTCAAACCCCCCTTTCGTAACCCTAAACCCTAAAACCTAAACCCTTAAACCCTAAACCCTAAACCCTAAACCCTAAATAAGCCCTAAACATTGATTTCCGTACAATGCCCTAGAGGTTCCTGGAGCTTTCCGGCACGGTGCCCAGTGCCCTGCGCCTACGCCGCTCGCGATGCGAGGAGGCCGTGAGCTTTTAAGTCAGCACTTATACCCTAGGGCTCCAGTTACCTAAATAGTGGGTTACTAACCATATATTATGTACCCCAGTAACCTACTATTTAGGTAACTGGACCCCTAGGGTTATAAAAAGGGGGAAACGGCGGATTTGAGTTTTTTGTCAGGGCCTTTGAAGGTGCATATAGGGTTTTTCAAGGCCACCACCTGAACAATCAGGCAACGTTGCAACAATGTAAACTCTACATACCAGTATGAGTACTGAAACTCGTACAAATATTTCAAACATTGTCCAGTATGAGTACTAGTAGTACTAGCAGTAGCTTGTTCGAGTAAAAGTACCAGTGCTTGTGCAAGTACTAGTGCTCAACTGGCATTTTTACAAAACGACGACGAGGACGACGACGAGGACGACGACTACTACTGCTGCTACTACGACGACTATTCTACCTCCTAAGCCCACTGCTTACTGCTTGCCGCATACCACCTACTGCCTATTACCTGCAACTGAGCAGCTGCTATCCATGGCTCACTACCTACTACCTACCACTTACTACGTACCTACGACGACTACGACCACGACGGCGACGACCACTATCCATACAGCAAGTAGCTGGCCAACTGCACCAGCTAACGACAACTACAGCACAGCTTGTTTCGTGCCACTTCCACATTTACCTCGACTTCGACGTGGCCACTCCTACGAATGCCGTCCTTTGCATTTGTCTGTCTTGTGCTTTGCCCGATGATAACCCTAATCCCTAACGACCTAAGCAGGAGGCAACAAAAAAAAACCCAAAGCCCTAAAACCCAAAAAACAAAAAAACCAAGCCCTAAACCCAACAAAAAAAAAGCAAGCCCTAAATCCCAAATCCGAAACCCCTATGCTGGTCCTGGTGGTGTCGGCCTGGGCTGCAACTGTAGTGCGAACGCGAGCCTAGAGACCTCTGGCAGTGTCCGAGTTGCGAGATCGTAAACGCCTAAGCCCCTGCTCAGCTTCTTGGATAGCTCCCTAAATTAGCCAAATAGTACGGCACGCTTTTTCAAAAGGATCAGAAAAGAGACCCTGATTTAGAGAACTGCCCTTATAAAAAGGATCAGAAAAGAGGCCCTGATTTAGAGAACTACCCTTATAAAAAGGATCCGAAAAAGGACCCCCTTATAAAAGGGGCCCGAAAAAGGGACCCGATTTAGAGAACTAACCTTAGAAAAAAGACCCTATCTATATATATATATAGATAGATAGATAGATATATATATATATATAGAAGGGACCCTAATTAAGACAACTCCCCTTGATAAAAAGGACCCCCAAAAAGGGACCCTAATGTTGAGAGCTACCCTCCTAGCCGGCAGGAATCGGAGCTTCGATTGGAGCTTCACTGCCCTCATCGCACGGAGTGTGCAGAAAAGATGTGGCCGAGCAGTCCCGGGGTCTAAGCCTTCTAAAAGGGTTTAGGGTTTGGGATTTAAAGTTTAGGGTTTAGGGTTTTAGGGTTGAGGGTTTCGAGCACCTGTGACAGAGAGAGAGGGTTGAGGGTTTCCCGGCTGCTTGCGAGAGTCCTGGATGCAAAAGGGTTGAGGGTTGTAGGGTTTAGGGTTTAGGGCTGTAGGGTTTTAGGGCTTTTAGGGTTTAGGTTTTGGGGTTGAGGTTTTGGGGTTTTGGGTTTTCTGACAACCCGTGTAGGGGCTCAGGGTTTCCTGGCATACCCGTAGCCCAGGTGTAAAAAAGGTTTGGGGTTTTGGGTTTTGGGTTTGGGGTTTTGGGTGGCTGGTAGTCAGGATTGAGCCCAGAACCTATGTGTAGGACTCTGGCTTTACGGTAGGTTCAGGTTTAGCGGTTAGGACAATGCACCGGTGTACACTCGACCTCAGGGGGGGAGCGGCGCTGAGGGCCTTTAATGCACCGGTATGTGCGAAAGTTGGCGCCTAACCCCAGAACGTCTGCCACTGACGGCTGATGGCAAGAATTTCAAGCTAGAGCGTCTGCTGGGTCTGAGGTCTTAATACTCACAAGGTGTTCTCAGGCGCAGTGGCCCCTTCAAAACTAGGCTAAGCAGTGCAGTACTTGACCATGTTGATGCCAGCCGAGCGCCA